ATTGATAATCAACTTAGCCTTTTCATACATCTTAAGCGCTTCTTCGTGGCGATTCATTTGATACTGGCAATCACCGAATAACATTAATAATCGATAATTATTGGGATCAACTTTTAAAAGTTGACAGATTAATTCACTGGATTCATGATATTCGCCTTTGGTCAGTAATCGAACTGCATAACAACTGATGGTGAGAAATAATTGATTTTTACCTGATACATACAATGACTGATAGTTATCGGATGATTTGTTCTGATTATTATTATTATCATTATTATTACTTATCCCATCCAATAATTCTATGCCTTGTAGAACACAGTCAATCGACTCGTCTAACCGACTGAGTTTCCTTAATATTGCTCCTTTATCAAAATACAATGAGACATTCTCTGGTTGAGCATAAATAGCCGTGTTGATTGGTTGTAAAGCATCTATGAAACGATTTCTTAACATTGAGGCAACTGCTTCTTCTTGTTTGCATGAAGATAAACTCTCCAACTGTTTCAACAAGTTTAAACTGTCTTCATGAACTGGACAATGGTGTATTGCTCGTTTAACATTATAATAAGCTTGAGTTATTGATTGACCGGATTGTTTGAATAGGATTTTAGCTTTAGTGTACAACAGGTCTGATATTTCTTTGAAAATAATGACAAGCGAAAATCATCAATAAAATGGTGAATTAAAATCCTAAAAATGGATTAAAACAATTTTTTCATTCCTTTACCTTCTCAGTGGAACGTAGGGCCACTTCAAACTAGAGGCTTGAAGTTTCTGTAGCAGTGGTGATTGTTTTTACAGGAGGGGTCGCTAGCCTCATGACCAACTTTTCCTCTTTACCAGCTTCTTTTTTCTATTACTGGCTTAGCCAGGTAAAGGAGTGCATCGGCCGGAGGTTGAACCCAGGACCACATGTATGGTCGGCGAGCATTCTATCGCTGTACCACCGACGCTCACGGATTGAAAATATTGAAAATAAAATGCAAAATCGTTATACAACTAGGGAAGAATTGCAAACTCCCATTACACATTCATAATAGTAATTATTACCATTGCTATTATTCCCTTCGGTTCCCAGTGGAACATTGGGCTTCAGCTGAACATCTCCACTTCACTATGTTCTATATAGTGCATTCTAGCTGGCTTCATGATTGTACATAAGGTTTCATTTCTCCTTCGCATGATCTCCTCTTTGTTAACCTTGGACCCATGCTCAATTCATCATTTCTCATTTGGGTCTGCCTAGCATGTCACACCACTCAAAGGTCTCTTCAGCGAATATATAATGCACTTCTGTTTCATCCTACCTATTCGCTGGGCAATTGGTTCTCGGTTGTTGGATACTGAACATCCTCTCTACTATCCAAAACTTCTCTTTGTGTTTGTTTGGAGTAAAACTAGAAGAAATTTCATGTTCATACAACCACTAAATATAAAAATTCAACCATACTGTATTTAGCTTATAAGCCTACTTAATAACCAGTAAATAAACAGTAATTTATTATCGGTATTGGTTATTACACCTGCATTACTCTTCTATTGACTTCAATTGTTTGCAGTTTTAGTATTTCTACTATCTTTTTTACCTACCTGCAAAAGAAGATACAACCCTGATGTTAGATGGTTGGAGACAATCGGCAGGAAGCCTTGGAAGTAGGTTTCCTGTTAGCTGACACTCACCAGTCAGCAAGGTGTATCTACCATGCCTGAAGGAACTCATGTCCCTTCTGAGATTCGAAGCCGTGTTATTCAGTAAGACCTGCAGCCAGAGACGTTACCACTGAGCTATTCAGGTTGGCGACTGACCTTATGTAGAACTGCATTGGACTGGCTTAAGCGGGTTACAATCTCAGAAGGGACATGATTTCCTTCAAGGTTGTACATACGGCTTGCTGACAGACTGATGAGTGCCAACTAGCACGAAACCTAGGTCCAAGGCTTCCTGCTGATTGCCTCCAACCATCTAACATCAACAATTTAAAGTTCACCGTGACAGCGAGCTACCTAGAATGGTGGGCACATTGCAAACCTGACTGATAGAATTCAATCTGCACCAAGCAAAGGACTAGACCCATCACCCTAGTTACTAGTGTCCAATGTAAGTATACAGCCCTGAAAATTTCATTCTGTATATTATTATTATTGTTTGGTATAACTTGTTTACTACTGTGGTGGTGCAATGCAGACAATGTTTTCCAACGGAATATTATTCTCACATATTCCCACAGTTCAATACAACATTAGCAACAGAATACTATGTATGTATTCGAATATCCTATTTCACGTTGTTTAATGTACGCCGAAATCACACGCTCAGTGATTGGTCAGAGAATATAAACTGCATAGGTATAAATAGCTGTTTGAAAACTTGAAAATATACCTTGGCTTCGAGGTCTTGCCTTTTGTTGTTACACTACTATTATAACGTACCGTGCGCTGACCAGAATTCAACATGCTTCAAAGTAATAATTAACAAACTATTGAATGTTGAATGGTAATTATAAAACAAATAAGTATAAACCTATTAAACACACACGCGTACACCTACGTGGTAAATGCAATCTCGTTGTCTGAATAGTATTCTCTTTTAATATTTCTTCTGAAACGAAAATAGTTTTCTTCTCTAAATAATTTATACATTTTGTCAATAAATCAATACTATCATTATCATTTTGCATTGATTCGTACACCTTTAATACATCCATCAGTGTGACTAATACTCCGGGTGTAACAGATTCCCCGGTGATTGAATTATTCATTTCAGCATATTGATCAATAAAATCTCTGCCTATTTCATATTGTTTCAAAGCTTCATCATACTTTTCTGTTTTGTATAAGTATTTACCATAAACAATATGCAGTTGACCAGTTTTCAATAAGGCGTCTTGATATTCTGTACGATTCATGTTGGTTGACATCGAAGACGGTGAAACACATGAAGGGGAAGCGTCAGCTGAAGACCCTAAACCAGTGTTGACGGCTACATGCTGATCGACTGCGTTTGTTTCTAACGACTTTGATCCTAAGGATAGGGCTATGTGAAGATCACTTATAGCACGTTGGTAGTCTTGAAGCTGCATAGAAGTGTGAACGCGTTCGGTTAGCATCGTAACAATTATAATAATAATAACAATAATAATGCAGTTAAACAACAGTTAGGGAGGTAATAATAACTAAGTATAAACACAATACCAGTGTAGACTTCATCACTATACATGCTCACCAACTATGCAACAGGTCTTGGTTCAATTCTCATCCGCATATATCTTTATGAATCCTAACTTACTTTTGATACCCAGTACTCACAATCCCTATTCATGCCTGTTGTTCAAACCTAATTATCAAGGATGGATATTTCATGTGGCAGGATATAAGCCATAACTAGTGTGTATGCAAGGCCTGATAATACTACTCAAATTCCCAGAATGAATTAGGCGGAGTGGGATTCGAGCCTAACACCTGCTGGCTAAAATTCCAATCTTTAAGCCAATCTCTACCGTCTAATTTATACCAAAATAGTCTAGATATTTGAATCACAATCGTCTACCAAAAAATAATACAAAATACATCGGAAAAGCATCTTCAGTTTCTGTGAAGATATGTGACAATCCTATACAATCTTTGGACATCTTTATAAAATGTTATTCAAAATTACTTACTAATAGCTAACTGCAAGTTTTATATGCGTGAGATCGAACTGGTTACTTGTGAATTAATTCACAATATGCAATTTCCAGATTTCCAGATGAAAACTTACCTACAGTTTCCATTGCGAAGCAAAATCATCCAAGTCATTTTTAAACAAATTTCATGTTAATCAATGTTCAGTGCATACCTTAGCATAAATTTCCGCGCGTTCAATATGAAATTGGGCATTGTTTGGCGCTAATTTTATACACTGATCAATATGATGCATTGCTTTCAACATATCAGCATTATTCATAGCCATTTCCACGCATCTATGATGCTTTCGAATAGTTGTTGTAAAATATTGTCCTATAGTCATTTTCATATATGAAACTGCAAATTTCTGAGGTAAATCACGTCTTCTAGTTGGACTATGCATAAGGAATGAGCGTGCAACAACACTACTGGCACCGTTTATTTCTTTTACATCTTCTATTAGTCATATAATAATAATAATTTAAATGATCAGAACTTTAGGAATTACCATTAATTATTGTATTATGTCCTAATTGTTCATGCAATGGATATCCTGGACGATTTTCAACATCAATACACATCACTTTATTTTCAAGTGTATCCATTGAAAAATTAGAATCGGATTCAGTGTGTTGCACTTTTAAAACAAAAATTTTAACAAAAAAAGCAGCTAAAGATTTAAGATAGATAACTTTTACTATAGTACAATTTTTTCTGTGATAGTCATTTATTTTGTTCACTTACATGTGATTATTATCCACTATCAGCAGCACTAAGTTAACATAAAGAATTATAGCTCCTTCAGCATTCCAAAAGCTTTGTTCATTTCTCAAGTAGTTTTTCATTATAAATTAATTGGTGGAGGGTGAATAGCAGTGGAATCCAGGTTGCGTATTTCTTCCTATTTGGAACTCGTCATCTAGGTGCACCTGCATTCCGCGGTGAGTGATGATGTTCCCAACGAGGCTTGAACCCAGTGCCCAAGAATCCGACATGTCAACCTGAGACCGAGCACTTTGGTCCAGTCGGTCGATGGGAAAATCTAAAGTTGGATTAAATAATTAATATGGCTCTTGTGGCCTAAGAGGTCTACTGGATAACGCTTTGGCATTTGAGACTGTGGGCACTGGGTTCGAGCCTCAGTGGGAACATTATCACTCACTGGGGAATGCAAGCACATCCAGTTGACGAGTCCCAAATAGGACGAAATGCGCATGCTGGATTCCACTGCTAGTCACCATCCACCAATTAACCTATAATTACATGCCCAGACATCGTCGAAGCATCCGCACAAGAAGCCAACAGACAACTCAACCTGAAACCGAGCACTTCAGTCCAATCAGTTGACGGGAAGATCAAAAATTGAATTAAATGGTCTTTCATTATGCCTAAAATGTGGCCTGGACAGGTTGGCTGACATAGGAACAGGTTGATAAAGAGTTAGACATGATCGAAACGAAATATGGTATCCAATCCATGAAGCATACATTCTTCATGCCAATGGAAAAGATAAATGCAAATTATTTACTGAAGTCATATTTGCCTACAGTTGCGTTCTTCTTGAGCATACCAAGAGATTTAGGCCAAGCACAGCAATATTTCATTGTCATGTCAAAACAATAGACTATAAGAAATATCACAAGTCATTTCTAACATTAAACACAATACTTTCTATTATTCCTCTTCCACCATACTTTAGAACGAAGCGTTGGATGGAGTAATGTAATATGATTTGAAATGATACATGTACATGACCATGTATGCATTGATACGTCAAAGGTGTGGTAAAATCTGAAGTTGATTTATACAAATAATGTTCCCAGAGATTAAAATAAGGGTTGAAATCCACTTGAAAAACATTTAAGCATATACAGGCCTGCAGTTTCATCACTTAGAGAAACGCCACAATGATTATATTGAAAAACGATGTCACTTCAACTGTCTTCTAATCATTCAACAAAACTAAATGAAGTATGAGATTCTGTTTAGACGTTTTACAGTCTTAAAAGTAACGAATCGAGGAAGAACACTACAATCATATGGAATGAGTGAAGCTAGCAGACTTTTCAAGGCAGAAAGCATAAAATGCAGAAAATTTTGACAACACATCAGTTTACTTAGGGTGGTTTACGCGAAATAAACTCAGCTGTCTCCTTAGGAGAAAGTTTAGCTAACGATATATCTATAACGTTGATTAAGGTGACAAAATCAGGCTAAAATCATCAAACAAAGTAAAGTGATTTATGTGAATCACATTTTTGATTGATTTTGCTCCAGTTGAATTCAAAAATTATGGGAACACAAGGAATGGGGAAGTTTCCATATACTTTGGCAAGCAACTTGGATGCATGTTTTATCTAAAAGAGTCAAGTAACATTACCGTGCTTGGCTAAGAGAAGAGGAGAGTGGATCAATAAGGAGTGCAATAATTGAATTTAAAATTCAACACAGGTTACTCAGTATGCAAGGAGAATTCATTAAACGTCATCGACAAAGTCAAAAGAAGCCTCCCGAAAACGGTAAGCTTCCGTATACTTTGCACTGCCGAGGCCCTAGCGATCCGGATAGAAAACCCAGATTTATGCATACAGAAGAAACTTCTGCACCCACTGCTTTTACGTTGGGTATAATTCCAAACTCTAGTACTTTGTTAATAACGCTTGTTTTGTTTTGTTTTTGAAATTTCCTATGACATCTTAGCAACATCTTCTTCTTAAGCAACCCTTTATTTACTTTTTCTACCTATTGCATAATTTATTTCAGAGATGTGTCCTCGTTAACGTCCTGTTTCGTATTATGCAACTCTTGTCAATACTTATCAGTCTTCACCTCCCTCCAGTTACAATTATGATTATTCATCACATTTTAGAAATATTCTGATGACGTAAAAAATAATCCTAACCAATTTTTATTTTTGTTTGACAATCCTAATGTGCACACATACACAAAATAATTATAAATAAAAGCGACTGTACAGCTAGGTGAATGAATTCGCTGAAAAGAGACTCCTCGCCGAAGTTTTTTGATCGATTTCCCATCTTATAAGTGACACATCAGCTGACTGGCTTCCCAAAGTCTCTCACCAACCCGCGTCATTTCACCTCTGTAAATCCAGCGTCTCTTATATTTTTATATTTGTAAATGTTTTCTTGTGCGCTGAAGCTCCTGTAGCAGCTTGACAGATTATTCCAAAAGCGCCTTCAAAGCGTTCACGCACAGACCTGCCATGACCAGTCCTGTAGCACCTACTGTGATAGAGACTGAACATGTATATGTAGTAAAATTAATCAACCAGAAATTCTAAACCATGATTTTAACAAATTAAAAGACATTTCACCTATGAATTTATTGACAAGATCAGTCATACCAGACATGTAAACACTTTATGGAGCACACACATTTTGCCTGGCACAGTCAGAAAAGTTTTTGAACGTGCATATTTGCTGTTATTTATAATGAACTACCCAAGTTTACCATAATGCTGAATTAAATCTCATTTATTATGAAATAATTCTAACATTCTATAGTGAGTAAATTCTGAATTTGTTCTGAAATGGATTCTTTAATGGCACAGACTAGAACTCAGTGCAGGTTTTCAGCATGACTGGCACCAATTCAACACTTTGTTCTTTTTCTAGGCATTTTCAGGAGTAGACTCGAACCTACTGGGTTTGCTTATCAGCGTTGTTCCAGCCCTCACAGGACATATTAAGCAAGGAATAGCGTTACTTCAGAACATAGTGGGTAGATAAAATCTTCATTTACCATAAAAAGGCATTATCGAAGAAAAGATTAGAATAAGTTTGGAATTGTTGTAAGCTTGGGTATTCTATCCCCTAGCTAAATAAGCATCTTCTTTTTCTCACCAACTTGTATTATGCTGTATCCTTAAAAACATCTACACAAGCCGAAAGCTAGGAACAAAAACGGGTTCAGGATGAAATTATATTTATAATTGGGGAAGTTAAGCTATAATTGTGATCTGCTTTTGTAAAACATATTTCGCGCTATTTTCAGAATGCTGTACTATATATGTTTATTCGTGATTTTGGAACAAAAAATTAGAATCATATTACTTACAACAGACTACTCAAAATAAATTCACAGAATTTGAATTAGAGAACATCAAGACATTTAAATTAACACAACAAGTTGCTATGGCTTTTGAGGTCATTAACTTTCAATATTCAACATCGTTTTTACGAGCTAATATAAACCAATTTGATTTCTTTGTGTTTGCCTCTTGATTGTGAGGTATAGGTTCCTGATCTTCGGTAAACTTCTGCATAGCTCATCTCGCCACTCAACTGTCGTAGCTTCGGTTGACTCCAAAAGGAGTAGTGCTGGGATTAATAATATGTGGTTTGTAGTATGAGGTGTGTTAAGACTGTTACTACTGTGAATGGAGTTGATCCTTTCACTAGTTAGTCCTCCGGTATCATCGTCAAAAGAAAAGGGATAATAATAATAATAGATATAATTAGTGAAGTTATTCAGACTAACAGACAGAAAAAGAATAAGAAAACGTAACGACAGTCAGCTGATTAAATTTGAAGAATAATATGAATAATATATATAGGTAATAATGATAATATTAATAACAGGTGTGGTTAAAGTTGTCGGAAGAGTAAGACGGGAGATAATGTAAGGAGGTAAAACGACGAGTTTAGTTGTCTACCCCAGAATGGTGTATGCGATTTTAAGGGGATAGGCCATTTGGACGCAGTCCTTGTGTTGCTGCATGCTTGTCCAGCCTTCTCTTAAAGGCGTCCACAGACGGTGCAATAGCTACATCTTTCGGTAAGGAATTTCAAGGACAGCAAACCCGCAGTGAAAAGAAGTGGGAGCGACTCCTTGCCCTCTGATGAGCTATCCTTCTGGGATTTCCACGAGGGAGCCTATACTTACTCAATGGCAGAACACCTTTTTTGGGGTGATTCTGGTCATTTGTTAATTTGTTGGCAGTAATCAAATCATTCCTAAGACGACGGTAGCTAAGTGTGAATAGGCCTAATTTCTTCAACCTTTCATCATATGGTTTATTTCGGAGACCAACCACTCCTTTTGTTGCCCGTCGTTGGACTCTTTCCAAGAGGTTGGCGTCTCTTCTAAGCAGTGTGGGCGCAATGATATTATGCACTTCAAGGTGTGGTCTGACGTATGTTTTGTACAACCTTAGAAAGAGCTCAGGAGTGAGTGCACCTAATTGTCTATGTGTAAAGTGTATGACCTCATATGTCCTCGTTACGTCCCCCGTGTAATTTACGCTTGTGTCCATTTTCTCCGCTAGAACTAGACCTAAGTCACGTTCCGACGTTGAGCAGGACAAGCTTTCATTGCACAGGGTGTAACTTGCATTCTGCAGTCTACAGGTGCGTAACTTCACTACTTTGCACTTTTTCAGGTTGAAAGTCATGCCACTGGCCACCGCCCAGTCTTCCAGAAGGTTTAGATCTTCCTGCGGCATATCTGAATCCACCGGGCCTTTTAACAATAATAATGTATATTTTCATATAAACATAAATTAACATGAAAATGCATGCCATCGCCATCTATATCTTTACGTCGTCAGAGTATACAAGAGTCGGGCAGCTTAAACGGTATGGTAGGTCACT